TCAGTGAGCTGTGTGACCAATACGTTGAGGAAAATGGCACGCTCACACTCCAGGTCGATGTAGCAGGTGCGTCGTTAAGGCTGGAAATCATCTTTTACTGGGCATAAAGCACCAACTCGTACGCTGTTCTTGATTTTTTTTTTTAAGTTGAGGATAATGGTTTGATGATGGGTGCCGCATGAGTATTAGAATTGTTGATCGATAGTACTCTCAACTGTTTTTTTTGTCACTGAAAAATATTGTGACAAGTCGTCCTTCAGTAGTTTCCAAGTGTTACTCATTATGATTTTAGAGATACTGGGATAATGGGGTGTCAGTAAAGCTAACAACTATGCCTTAAACTCACAGCATATCCTTTATGATTTGTTATGATACTCACTGATTCTGGTATTGAATAGATGTGATTGATTACTTTTATGAAAAAATCCCGGATCTGAAGAGGTTTTAGTTTAGTTTAGTTTTATTGATCTAACCATATTTGCTCCGACGATGACGTAAATACAACGAATACTCGGAGACTTTGCGTTCCCAAATGTCTTACTTTTTCTTGGTTTAATTTTAGGGTCCCCTCAACCGGAAGTGTTGTGGCTGTTTAACGGCCGGTCCCTACATCCTTCCGGCAAGTTCAGGATCTCTTCTACAGGCCACACACATACCCTCAGCGTTTTCCAGGTCACAAGCAAAGACCTAGGTACTTACTCCTGTAGGATTACAAACAAGTAAGTACTTTTGACGCCAATGACGCATGGTAACAAGTTCTCATCTGTTCACATACCAGAGAAATACCATAATTGGAGTAAATTGTGAGGGTAGATCCGTTCTCTTCGGCACGACTGTAATTCGAGCTCCTTGTACCTTAGATATGGATACGCGTATACCTTGAGTACAGTGAGCTTCGGGACGCCGAGGCCCCGTCGCGGCTTGGCTGCCCCGGGTGGCGACCTCGATCTGCGGGCGCCGGTATTCGTCAGCCGCCCAGAGAGCATGGTCACAGTGTTCAGGGATGAGGAAATCACGTTGACATGCACTGTTCATGGCGAACCTACTCCTAGGGGTAAGGACTCTCTCGTTGTCTCACTGTCTCTCCCCCTCTCTCTCTCTCTCTCTCTCTCTCTCTCTCTCTCTCTCTCTCTCTCTCTCTCTCTCTCTCTCTCTCTCTCTCTCTCTCTCTCTCTCTCTCTCTCTCTTCTCTCCTCTCTAACTCAGTCACTTTGTCTCTTTCTCACTTGTCTCTCGCTCACTTTGTCTCCTCTCTCGTCTCCTCTCTCTCCCTCTCTCTCTCTCTCTCTCTCTCTCTCTCCTCTCTCTCTCTCTCTCTCTCTCTCTCTCTCTCCTCTCTCTCTCTCTCTCTCTCTCTCTCTCTCTCTCCTCTCATCTCTCTCTCTTTCTCACTTGTCTCTTCTCACTTTGTCTCTTTCTCACTTTGTCTCTCGCTCACTTTGTCTCTCGCTCACTTTGTCTCTCGCTCACTTTGTCCTCCTCACTTTGCCTCTCGCTCACTTTCTCTCTTCTCTCTCTTTCTCTCCTCTCTCTCTCTCTCTCCTCTCCTCTCTCTCTTCTCTCTCTCTCTCTCTCTCTCTCTCTCTTCTCTCTTCTCTCTCTCTCTCTCTCTCATCTCTCCTCTCTCTCTCTCCTCTTCTCTCTCTCTCTCTCTCTCTCTCTTCTCTCTCTCTCCTCTCTCTTCTCTCTCTCTCTCTCTCTCTCTCTCTCTCTCTTCTCCCTCCTCCTCCCTCCCTCTCCTTCCTCTCCTTCCCTCTCCTTCCCTCTCTCCTCTCTCTCCTCTCTATCGTCTCTCTCCTCTCCTCCTCCCTCTCTCTTCTCTTCTCTCTCCTCCTCTCTCTCCTCCTCTTTCCTCCTCTCCTCTCTCTCCTCTCTCTTCTCTCTCCTCTCTCCTCCTCTCCTCTCTCCTCCTCTCTCCTCCCCTCCCCTCTCCCTCTATCCCTGTCCCTTTCTCTCTCCCTCTCTCTCTCTCTCCTCCTCTCTCCCTCTCTCCATCCCTCTCTCTCCTCCCCACTCTCTCTCTTCTCTGCTCACGCTCTCCCTCCTCTCTCCTCTCCTCTCCCTCCCTCTCTCTCTTTCTCCTCTCCTCTCTCTCTCTCTCTCTCCCTCTCTCTCTCCTCCTCTCTCTCTCTCTCTCTCTCTCTCTCTCTCTCTCTCCTAATTCTCTCTCTCTCTCTCTCTCTCTCTCTCTCTCTCTCTCTCTCTCTCTCTTCTCTTTTTTTTACACGTGCATAGAAAATCATTAGCCTATATTTTTTTATACATTGGAATGTACGTAATAAATTCCCCAGAACATTCAACGCAATCATCTTCCAACAGTATCGTGGCTTAAGGGCACCTATGACGTATCGAACACCACGCGTGCTCACAAGACTGTTAAAGAGAACACACACACCCTCGTAATCCGTGGCGCGCAGTTCACAGACTCCGGCACATACACGGTGGAGGCCAAGAACTCCCAAGGCACCGTCAGGGCCTACGCTAGTGTCAAGGTGGGTTAACTGCCAAACTTTCGTATTAGTGTGTTCTTGTGAGTTTTTTTTCTCTTTTCAAGACTTATAACTTATTATTACTTGTGGATCCTGCCATTGCAAAGTACAGTGTACATGATATTCAGAAATGTAGTTGTGAAGATCGGGAGATATTTTTGATAATATATCAGTATGTAAGTAAAATGACAAAATCATACACGACGGAAGGTAGCATAACTCGTGGAGTACCTTTCTGAATTACTACATTAATTCTCCTCGTTTAGGTACGCGAGCTGTACAGGTCCCGCAGCTACTCCCCGCGTGGCAGGGAAGAGAGGTATCCAATCAAGTTTGAGATTCCGGAGAGAAGAACCTCAGGCCGATTCATTAGAGGTCAGAAGCTCATCTTGTAGATTCTTGTTATGAGATCATAGTCCTTGGTTTACTGCTTTCCTTTAGCATGTAGTATAATGCTCCTACCATTGGTGATGTTTTAAGAATGCATTGAAAGCAATTGGAATTACCAGTTGCTATTGTTACCATCCTGGGAAGGATGGTAATATTAGCACGAGAAGCAGCAACATAACACATTTAGCTAGAAATATGAAAATTGCATTTGTTAATTATAGCCATATGCAACGCATTTGACATTATTAAGTGCCTTTCAGATGTGCCAGGAAAGATTGCCGCTCCCAACGCCACAGACATTGGCAAGACGTGGGTGTCACTCAGTTGGGGAAGACCCGAGCAGACAGGCGGCGCCCCCGTCACCGCCTACAAGGTCGAGTCTTGGATCCTGGGCGAAGAGGCTCGCTGGACAGATGTAAGTGCGACTTACTGTTCCCTTCAGGTTTCTCCTTCGTATACTGAGTTTTGCGCTGTTTCAGTTTGAGACAAGTGTCGATTTGATATTCAAACGTTAATCATATATTTTGTGCAGTTGGGTGTTTCGCCAATCCCCTCCTTCGATGTGTACAATCTGAAAACGGACCGTGAATATCTGTTCCGTGTGACCCCCCGAGCGAACACAGTACGGCTGGGGCGAACCCGCCATGACCCCCAGGCCTGTGAGGGTCGGCAGGAAGATTGAGACTCCGACCCTCCCTCGCTCACTCCCGTCGCAAGTCCGAGCAATGCCTGGTGGCAACATCTGTCTCGATGCTCAGGTATTTGACGGTGATCATTGCACAAAAAATGTGTGCTATTGAGAAACTAAGTTTTGCGATGAAATATATGCTGAATCTGAATCAGATAGATGTTAAATTGAATATCAAACTAGTTATAATAGATTCCTTTTTGTATAGAAAAAATGCCTATCTTTCGGAAACTGTACCTTATTCACGGCAGATATTACATATGTTAAAGTGCACCCACTCCTCCCTGCAGGTAACGGGAGAGCCCATGCCTGACGTCCGCTGGTACAAGGATGGCGCCTGCATCGACATCAACCGGTACCCGAGGTTCTCCTCGTTCTCTTCCGAGGGATCGGTAAGTGTTGTTCTTGCTTGACGTCGAGTTTGTCCTTCTTACGTAGATCTGATAATTATTTCGAAGGGAAGCTTTGATTTTGTGATATTGCGGAAGGAGTATGAGATTTAAAATTTATACATTTTAAATTGATTACAATGTTTATTTTTTCTTGAATGGCTATTTTATGATTTATCTTTTCATGTAACTGTTTCAGGATTTGTAAAAGCCATTTTCAGTTTTCAAGTAAATGTAAACTGAAACGCGTTTGTAGGATTTTCAGTAAATGTAAGAGTACTGAGCGCGTCTGAGCAATTTTTCACAAGAACTGATTCTTTTTTCTTTATATCACGTTGTATTGTTGTTGTTTTCAAATGCAAAAAATGCGCCAAAAAGTGGTCTTCTTTATTTAACAATTATATATTTTCGCGAAATGTTTGCATATGAGTGCTGATAGTTTAGCTTGATAGTGCATACCGAAGAAAAAAATGTTTGATAGGAGAGTAAGTAAGTCAACTGATAAACATTTAAAAGCATATTCCTTTAGTGAATTCGTACCAGATAATGATCCTTTACCACTTACATTTAGCAGAAGGATTTTAAACGATTGCATCAAGTTAACAGTGTTTCATTAATTTGGACATGATTGTAGCAGTAGTATTGTAGAATTAGTGTACTGAATATTATTTTTAATTTTTTGATAATCATCATTTTAAAAAATACTATTACGAAAAATCATGAAATACTGGTCTTTCTTGGGTTTTGGTTTAATTGCCCCTCTATTGATGACATCACAGTACCATGACTGTAAGAGATCCATGGTTATACGACACATGGTGACGTCATTTATGGTACTCTGGTATTCATCATTTGTCCTTTGATATGAATGGCTGGTTCTAATTCAGCACAGCATGTAACTGCATCAAGGTTATGCATATTAAAAGAAACCGATATTTCTTTCTTTAATCACTCATTTTTGACTGACGTTGGCTTTTGATTTTTTGAAAAGACAACTTTTTTTTTTAGTTGTTCTTGAAAACGGAATATCTTATCTTTGGTGGT